TATCCCAGGAAATGTGGGCTTAATTCAAATACCTACAGGGTGCCCCTCTCTAAAACACCACCATTTCAGAAACCTTCATTCTTAAGCAGTTATTGGCAATGAGAAAGTGTTGATCCTACTTCCCTAACTGTGGTATGTAGGCTTTAAGGTTTTAGGGCGAAGTAACAGGGAGATTTTTTACCCTGCATCTTTTCCTAACTGTTTAAAAGAAGCACCTGTTAGACCCGAGGAGGATATAGACACGCTCCAGAGCTCTGTCTGGCTCACTCAGAGTGGGAAGAGTTGGCTTTCTTTGGGAGCTGCTACACAAACAGTGTGATCCCATCGGGACTTGTTTGAGTTTTCAGTTCTTGCCTCCAGAGGATCTTACTGCTGTTGTGTCCTCTAGTCTCAAAGCCCCAAAGCAGTTTCTTGGGTATCCTTGTCTTTTTTCTTCCTGCTGCTGTCTCCTGAAGGGGTTTTATGTGTTAGTGTTTCTTGCCCAACACATCCCATGAAATTTCAGTGATATAATGAGGTCGTGCACTGTATGGAGAAATAATTAGATTCCCTATGTGCTCTGTATTTGTATTCAGAGAAATGACAGCATTATCATTACACACATACACCTCTTTTTTTTTCCCTTTTTTTTTTCTTTCCTTTCCAAATCATTTGAATTCCCAGCCACCCCCTCTCAATCCCCACCCTGCCACCCCCTCCGACACTGATTTCAGTAGACTCTGGAACGAACTCAGTGCATGGACAAAGCCTTGGTTCTGTTGATTTTAATGGCAAAACTCCTGTTGCACTGAATTTTGAACAGTAAGAAAGTTACTCATGAATGAAAGAGAACAAACAATTCAAACTCTCCTGGGACTAATGTAAATCTGTCAATTGCTGTCAGATTTACATCACTGTAAAATCAAATAATATGTATTTTGTTAAGACAGAGACAAAACTCCCTCAGATACAGTGTGAAAGTAGTTACATCTCTAGTACTAGAGCAATTTTCATCACATAGTGAAAATTAATGTTTAAAAAACGTATTACCCCTATAAAGATGACATCATCTACTGTCTCAGCTTTTGTGATGTGGTCATTTTAAAAGTCAACCACCTTGACAATGTCTTTGAAGATTACTCTTTGTTAATAGTGTACATTAGGAATCAAGCAATCACAGAGAATGCAATTAAGTGCATAATCACAGATATTTTTGACATCTGTCTACTTATAGGTTCCATGGCATTTGTTTGCATCTCCCCCACCTTGTGTCTTCGATTAATTTATCATGACCATCTGTGTTGTATTTTTTTGCTGCTCAGCTTGCCTTACTACATCTGTTTTTTGGCTGAGTATTTCATGGCACTTCATCATTTTCACTCATAGCATTAAAAATACAGAACTTCAATTTGCCCAGTGAAGTTGCTCAGTTAAGATAATCAGCAGTTAAACAGACCACTACACTTGTGTCAAACGAGTCTTTAAATGGCAAACAGAAAGTCAAGACGGAAGCGACAGCAGTTTAAAAACTGCGTATCAGGTTTTCTGGTGCCGCACAGAGGTAAAACCATCAGTGGTTCTGCCAGGTGGTGGCTCTGAATCCTCAGCTTATGTTTCAGAGAGAAGGGGATATGTCATGGCTGGAAAGGGTATTTGGTTACTGGGCTCTGGGTAGTCTGCAGGAGTATAAGTGTTTTTGAGGTCCACAGCAAACTACGCTCAGTGCATCAGGGTTAAGGGTGCTCTGACGTGCACAAGGAGCAGTGCAGATCCAGCCTCCCTTTGCCCATTAAGAGGGAAAAAGCAGTTCAAAGTGACTGCACCGAGTGGGCAGTGCAAGCAGCAGAGAAGAAACATCTGTAGGTTTTTATTTCCTAGTGCCACTGGGGTTAGAGGTATAGTGCTCCCAGTAGGTAACTCATTCCATCTCCCTACAGCGAAGGGACTCATTCACAATAAATATTTGGCCATGATACAAATCTTTTATCTGAAGTCACTGCTTATGCCTAATTTTCTTTCCTTATATTTCTTCCTTTGTTCTAATTAATACAAATTTTAAGCAATTTTTTTCCACTCCTGGCATCCTGTGATTCTCTTTTCTATAGCTTCAGGATCTCTCGGTTTTAGTAAACCATAGCAACTGTCATTTTCTCCTAAAAGAGAGAAGGAGAGTATAAACCAGCATCAGAGCCTACTCAGATACCATAGCAGGCCTGTTGCTCAGGAGTTTGTATAAGGTGACAGGAGAAAGGCTGTTCACTTTAGTCAGAGCTATCTTTGTGACAACACTGTGGTGAGTTTATCTGAGAGTCCTTGATAAACTACAACTCACTCTGAACAGTTTAATCTAACTTTTCCCAAGAAAGACCTGTGCACCATGTCCACTACCCCACTGTGCTCTGGAACACAATATACAAGTATCTATCCTTAGAACACTAATTTCTGCGTTGATTTTTTTAACCTTCTGGGTTGGTGGTTTCTGCACACCTCTTGCAGAAGAGGCGTCACACCCCACGGCAGCTGAGGTATCAAATCCAAGCATTTAAGCCTTACTGGACACAGCCAATACCCAGCCATTGCATATGGAGGGAGAAAGGGTACAACCCCACAGTGAAGGGGGAGAGAGAGATGTGCTAGAAAAGACATGGCAACTTTACCAGCTATTCTTAAATATAGCGCAAAGGCTGGGGACTGCTGATAGAGACTGAATGAACTTTCTCTTTTTTTGCTCACAGTGCACTTCTGTGTGGGTGGGCTGACTGGATTTGAAGTAAACAGCAGGAAGATGATCTGCCCAGTGAATGAAAAACTGCTTTGCTGAGGGAAAACAAGCACTACAAAAAAATACGGCAAATAGCTCTGAAAGTGGCACTTTTCCAAGCAAGGTTTTAAGCCTATGAAAATGCAACGTCCCCTCTGTGAGCCTCATTATATTAATTGTCACACTTCACCAACTAAGCCAAGAAACAGCAGGCCGTATATAAGCCTACCATACTATATTTGCTTTTTGTCACTGATTCAGTGAGATTCTTTGCTAGTGGTTGGACCCATGCAGAAGATAGCAGCAGCGTGACTGCTACTGGTTGAAGAAGTCCACCTTTAGCGCCAGTGTCCATGGCTTTGACACCGAGATATGAAGGCTTTGCAGCTAACATCTGCAGCATTAGTGGTGTGCTGAGGTGAGACAGAGCAGCATCTGACAAACCATGAAAACTAGCAGTCCCAAATGGACAGCACTACAAATTGCACTGTGGTGAAACCTGATTGTCATGGTGTGTGCTGAAAAATGTACCGTTGAATAAATCTTTCCTCCACCTGTGTTACCAGAGCGCTGCTACCAAGCAACTGATGATTTGAGTGCTGACTGATCTGATAAGTCATATCAGTACAACAGTGTAAGAATCCCACCGAAGTTGACTATTTATTCCATATCCTCTCTACTTACTAAAAAGGTAACACTCCGAATGTATAGACGTTTCTTTACCAGGACTTCCATAAGGGGTGAGTAACAACAGAGACTAAGTACCGTCCTTAAAGGTCCTTGAGTGACGTAACCTTTATATTGGACCCTTTATGTAGAGACGTTCGACCTATTACACTACCCCTGGTGTTGAAGCTCAGGACAGACATATAATCCTTCACAGGTAATTAAAACAGAAAATGCTTCTAATCTCTTTGTTAGTCCAGCTGTAGTTTTTGATCTAATAATAAACTACACTTTAAAAAAACCCACCCTCCTACATTTTAATTTAGACTGCACTGGGCTTCTTTTAATCTGTAATTTTTTAACTGGCCTGTTTTGATTTATGTGTGTACTGTACAGAATCACATGGTCTGAAACATCACTGTCCTCTGGCTGTGTGAGTACTGCATAAATATCAAGATGTCAGAATTTGGGCAATAATTCATGAAAGCTTTTCAGTGGGGACATGATTGACTTTACACATGTGCTTACATTGCACGTGTCCTTGAGTAGTGCCAGCAGTCCATGTGCTCTCTTTAACCAAGGCTGTAGGTCAGCAACCCTCTGGTGCAGACTGGCTTTCCTTGAATTTGGTGGGAGTTTGACTAATGACACTGGGGATTGTTTGTGCATTTTTGTACTGCAGTAAGAGGTAGGATGAGGAGCTGTGGGCTCACAGAGGTCACTCTGGCCACATGTGGGTGAGACCATCTAATCCAGCCCTTCTGGAACAATCAGGGACATCGTCAGGTAAGTCAGATTGCTCAGAGCACTGTCCAACCTGATCTTGAATGTTTCCAGGGACCACCTCACTGGGAAATCTGTGCCAGTGCTTCACCATTCTCACTGTAAAAAACTTCTTCCTCTTCGCCTCACCCATGCCCTTCCAGATCCCTTGCTGACCCCTTATCCTTCATCCCTCCAAACCCAGTGGAACCCGTGTGGCTTCTGTGGCAGGAGCCCCTTGGACAGCTTTATCTGTTACTGAAGGACATGGCAAGAAATAAATTAAAACAGATCCAGTTACCGCTACCTTATTTATCGGTGCAAATTCAATCTACAGAGGTGAGTTCCTGGGGGGGATCAAGGCCGTCTCAGGGTCGGGGCTGGGGACGTGCGGACGCCCCGTCGGAGCGCACCGCCCCTGGACCAAATCGGGTTATCGTAGTCGCTATGGGAACAGCGCCGCGGGCGGGGAGCGGGGGCAGCCGGCGGGGAGCGGAGGGAGAAGACGGCGACGGCTCCGCTCAACTTGGGCGAAGCGGCGGCGTCGAGGCGGCGCTGCCCCGGCCGCTCGCTGCCTGAGCGCCGGCGGCGGGACGGGAGCTGTGACCGCGGTAAGGAGGAGAAGGGGACGAGGAGGAGGAGGAAGGGACGCTGCCGGCGGCGGCGGGCGGGGTGCCCTGCGGGACGGAGATGGTGCGAGCGGAGGTGACCGCTGTCTTTGCCGCCAAGAGTCCGGGGTCGGGGTGTCCCCGCTCCCGCCCGTGCCGGCAGTGGGGTGGCGGCCGCCCGGCCCGAGGGGCTTCTGTGCCCGCCGCCCTCCGCCGGGGACAGCGCCGGGACAGCCCCGGGGCTCCGATCCGGCGGGGCGACGGCCACGAGGCGAAGGGAGCAAACTCCGCGTTACCGCATTCAGAAAGTCCTGGGGCTGTGAAGTACGTTCATTTCTTCAAAGTGCCAGCTCAGCTGCAGGTTAGAAAACCCCACAAAGTTTTCATGTTTTGGAAGGACTTTTAAACAAGTGCCGAAGTCTGGCTAAGCCGAGAGGTGCCAGCTCTTTGCCGGGTGACTGTGCCTGTGGAAGTGCTGGACCGAGCCCTAATCGCTCAAAAGCACTGCCGTAAGCCCAGCTGTTATCCCTCGTCAGCAGGGCTAATCCATGCCCCAGTGTAGGTTTAAGCTTGCTGTGCCAGTTTAGAGGGCTTGACTTCAAGCCACGTCCTCCTTCTGGTACCCTCTCCGCTCGCTCCGCGTCCGTCTGTCCGTACAAGCAGCGGGAGCGCTGGTGCCAAAGGTGAGGCGGGACGGGTGGGCAGGGAAGGGGGCCGGGGTGCTCCGACAGCTCTCCGAGGCTGGACTCGGGCACAGCTTCCTATATGGATAAGCACTGGGTAACTGGTTACGTAAAGAACAGGCAGTCGAGGAGGAAAGCTTGGTTTATGCTGCCTTCTGCTTATGACGCTTTTAAAAAGTCTCAGATTAGACACCTGTCCTACTAAGTGTCTTCAGTGGGGAAGTCCAATGTTTAGAGATACCCAGCCAGATACCACTACGATCAGTCAAGATAGCTTTGGAGTTACGGCAGTGCAACTAAGAATAGACCATGCTGTATATCTCTTAAAGCTAACACATTAATTAAAATCTGTCTCAAGACACCAGCGTTCACTGCTTATATGACAGCTCTCTCCGTGCCCATAGCTAGGACATGCACCTACTGCAGGGCAAAAAGCGAGAGCTTTCGCAGAGCTGCTCACAATGCTGTAAGTGATCTTGGCACAGAGAGGCTTAAGTTTTCAAACTGTAAATTTAGATTTCTTCTTTTGTGTGCCAATTTTTAAATGGTGAGTATTTTTAAGTAACTCCTGTCACAAGGATCAAACTTTAACACTGGTCTTGGTATTCTCCAGTACAGAGGAAACTCTCACTAGAGGCTTAGTTCTGCAGTGAACTGAGCCAGAGTGAGACTTTGGGGATCTCCAGTTAATCGTCTTTCTGATAGATACTGTAACTAAGGTTCAGTACTGGTCAGAAATGTAAAGAAGTCTGTTGAAATGGATTCTCACCTTATGATGCAATGAGTTACTCCTGCTTTCACAGAATAATCAGTCCTCAATCTGGATGGAGAATGCATGTCTCACCCACCTGTTTTCGCAGCACTTAGTCTGGTCTACACCACAATTTATGATTAAAAAAGAGCTTCAGAGGACCTGATGAGAGGTGAAATATCCTTTTGGGTCTGAGTTTCAAACTCTTTCTATAATTCTATAGATACAAATATTTACAGTGGATGAGAGTATTAGAAGCTCCAGTCTGTGACATTACTGACCTTTAATAACATTGTGTAGTTACAGTGACAGTAGAATAGAGAAAGATGAGCTACGAAGTTCTCAGAGTTTTAATTCTGAAAATCTTTTTTGTGTTGGAGCCTTCCATCAAATGCTATACTTGCTTTATTGCAGTAATATCTTTTCTTTTTGTGGTCTGTGTTACCTTCTGAACTGTCATTTACATGGCTGAATGAATAGTGAAGAATACTTTAGGTCCCTCTGTCCTGACTGGAAACCTGGCTTTGTAGTTTGCAGAGATCAAAGCAAGATATAGAATTGAAGGTGTGTTTGATCCATCATGGCAAGACCTGAGCAATATATCGGAGTTTTAATAACGAGTTAGGCAAACAGACCAATTCAGTGTGTTTTAACTTCCTGGTTTCTGTAAGTCTAAAAAACACTTTAGAGTAAGCTGTACATGATAGAGTGTTTTTATGGTTGCTACTAGAAACATTAAGGCATGAGTGGGAATTTGGCATGATAATAGCCCTGTTTCTCAACAAATAGAACTCATTTGCTCTGATAAGTAGACAAACTGTAAAATGCTGCTCTGCTTCATAAGCACATTTGAGTAGCACCCACCCTTTTGCTTCTGCAGATAACACAAAGATTATCTTCTGTAGAGAGTCCCAGCCATCAGCAGACCTCCAGGCTATTGAGCCCTTCCTTCACTCTTTCTTTAAGATCTGCAGACTGGATTTTCATCTGGAGTTAATCAACACAGCTCTCATTTATTTCAGTAAGGCAAATCTGTTTTCTATTAGTGCAGCTTTACTATAGATCACAAAGCTGTACCAGTTGACCACCTTTTCTCATAATGTTTTGGCTAGTGATTGAAAAACACCTTTCTCATTCATACCTGAGCTTGGGGTGCAGTTCATGCTGAATTCTTGTTTCTTTACCCCTCTTGCAAGCAAAATGCAGATGTAAAATACATCAGATAAACTTGTTTGCTGAAAGATTGAAGCTCTAAGAATGTATTACAAACTACATAAGAGCTGGGGTGTGAGAGCAGCATTTTTTTTGTGTGTTTTCAATTTTAAAGAGTTTCATTACCAAAAAAAAAAAAAAAATCTTTTGGGGGCCGTGGTATTTCCAGAAGGCCACTCAACATTTCCTTTGGTAGAAATGGTATACCAGTTGTGTTTTCCTTTAGTCTTGCAGCACCCTGTGGTACTCTCTGACTGCCCTCCTGTCGGATTTACCTAGCGGTGATTTTTAAAGTCACTCACCTTCACTAAAGGTTTAGGTGACTTGTAACTCTCTGTGACAATTACACCAGACAAAGAGCCAGCCCATTTCTATTGTGCTGACAATGCAAAGTCTGCTGCAGAAAAGTGCGTGCAGCAATGAGACTGCATGCTGAAGGGCAGCAGGGTTCTCACACATTCTGGAGCACGCTTGTCCCTCAGAAGCAGACCCAGGAGCAGCAGGAGCTGTCAGCCTGTGGCAGGCAGGTCAGACCATGAGCACTGCCCTGCTAGGGGCAGACAAGCATTACCTGGCTTGCAAGAGCCTGCTGGCTGCCACAGTGCCCTGTCACAGCTGTGACACTCTTGGACACTGCTGTGAGGTGCTTTTTGCTGCCCTTAAACACCTGCAGCCATGAAGGCTTGACAGTAAATAATGCTGCATTTAAAGCCTTAGCTTGATCCCCTGCACTTCTGTTATTCAAAACTCCTTGCTGTTTGTAACAGGGTCTTGTGCCTGGATACATTTTAACCACTGGGATTTTTCAGGTTTTTTAGTCCAGAAATAGCTTGTGTCCATCACAACAGGGAATCAGTATGCTTATAAAGCAAAACACAAGTTCTTTGCTGTGGTCTAAAAGTAGACCCCTGAGTGTCCTCAAAAGTCCTCTCTCTCTATTCTGCAGGTCAGAATGAGGAATGCTGCTGTGTTAATATCATGATATTTGCATTGCTTTTAAATTTCTTGATTGAAAAGCTCTCCCTACTGCTTTTCCAGCATTAATTGCCTCGTAGTGTCTCAGACTGAGGTTATAATAATTTCCATTGAGATTACAATTGCATGGCAAGTAGCTGTAAACATCTTAGACTTCCATGTCACTAAACAAGACAGATAGGATGTAGGATTATTTGTAGGATTCTGATAAGGTAAAAGTCTCTGTATGGAGAGGATAATGGTAAGTAATTGCAAGAAAAAAAATAATCGTAGAATATCCTGAGTTAGAAAGAACCCCCAAGGATCACTGAAGTCCAGCTCCTGGTCTCTGTGCAGGACATCCTCAAGAGTTACACCATGTGCCTGACAGTATCATCCAAACGCTTCTTGAACTCTGTCAGCCTTGGTGCTGTGACCACTTCCCTGGGGAGCCTGTTCCAGAGCCCAACCATTCTCTGGTGAAGAATGTTTTCCTAATATCCACACTAAACCTTTGACACAACTTTAGGCCATTCCCTCCAGTCTTGTCACTTCCAGAGAGACGAGATCAGTGTCTGTCCCTCTGCTGCCCCTTGTAAGGAAGGCGTAAACTTCTGTGAGGTCTCCCCTCAGTCTCCTCTTCTCCAGGCTGAACAAACCAGAAAGTGGTGGAGAAGAGAGAACAGGAATTCTTTCACAAAGCTATGGTGGGCTACATAAATAAAATTGAGAAGGTGTTGGCAGCAGTTTCTTAATTAGAAATTGCTAAGTTTCTTTGGAACAGAATTAAAATATCTTTATCCCAAGAGAAATAGAATTTGAGATTCATCTTTGATGCTGTCACTACTTACTGCTACTTCAAGCAGGTATGTCCAGCAGCGTAGCCTTGACCACAATTTCTACCTGAGCAGCTGGTTAAACATTGCATCAGTTAGCATGTACAGAATTCAGAGATGGGTGTAGCCAAACCAACTTTAATATACCGATGAGTTGCAGTCCTGGTAGATATTAGATACCCTTCACTATCTGAAGGACACTGGACTTTCCTGGATAGAGTAATCCAAACTTTACTACAGAAGTAAATAATTTAAAATAAATTTTAATATGCTCCACAGTTTTGCATCATCTCTGTTCCCTGTGACTGCATGTTTTTTAAAAAGTACAGTTATGAGCACAATTTGGGGATGGAGCTTGTCCCACTTATTTTAAAAATAATTTTCATTGTTTGTTACCCTCTGGTAATGTGTGGAATCTGGCATGTGTGGAAAGGGCTAAGTGGGTATCTTGCATGAACAAATTCTGCTCTCTGAGTGTAGTAGTAAGGAATTACTACCCACAAGAAGGGAGGGAAGGCATTTCCCACCTCCTCAGCCCTGTTTGCTGGTATGCTTTTACTGGATGATAGTGGACTTCCTGGGAATCTATCTAAACCCAGCTGAGTGACAATCTTTCTACTGACATCCCTGGACTTTGGATTAGGTTTGTTCCCCCCATAGCCCCCTTAAGACTTCTCCTCCTGCTCTGACACAACTACCACACCCCTAAGGCTCTCGAGAGTCACTGAGGATGGTCAGTAGTACTTCTGGACTGACAGACTGTGAAGGCAAAGACAAACCACTGGAGACTTGTCAAACCAAGAACATACCTTTATAGAGAGTTCAGCTGTATTCTCATTTTTTTCCAGAAATGCACATTTCCCACCCTCTGCCTACTTTTTTTCTTGTCCTTGAGGATGTTGCAATCTGGAAACCAGGAAATGGATCAATGGAAAAGGAATTTTTTTATTCTCAACAGGCCCTGCTGATTGACTCACGTTTTACAGAAAGCAGCCCTGCTGTAACAAGTCTTAGCAAGTGGTGATCTAGCCAACAAGAGCCTGAAGGAGACTGATGTCTGTTGGGTTGTATGAACAGCCTCTTGTTGGCCAAAGAACAGTCAGAGAGAAGGTTAAGGAAACATACTCTCCTTGTTGGAAAAAGAGCTAGGAAAGACTAAAAAAAAAGCTAGGAAGGTAAAAAAACAGATAAGGCATGAGAATGGTGATATTTCTGATGATTCTTTGGTGCATTCTCTGGAACAAGAA